GCAGCTTGTTTACTTTCATCTGATAAAAACAAATATTTATAAACAAACAAACGATCAAACTGTGGCTGCAGCTTGTTTACTTTCATCTGATAAAACGAGTGAAGCTGTGAGAAACGGTTGATGTTTTCAGGTAAAGATGGTTACACGGTTCATTTATTAACACAAAGCATCAAACAGCTCTAACACACATGATGCAGAGGAGGAGGAGCCAGAAGAGGCAAGTGCCCCGCCCCCCGGCACCTGATTGGCCAYTCCCAAATAACTGACAAGTTGGATTTTCATTGATATTTTGTTCAAGTTTATTCTTCTGTGAACTGTGTAAAATTTTAGCTGCGTGTTTGAAAACAGCTGAAATAGCCCTGTGTAAAGTTAGCATTAGCAGTTAGCTTACTTTGGGATCAGCATCATTCTCAGCTGCTCTAAAACAAATTTAATCTCAGTTTGTAAAATAGCTGAATTATAGCTTTTTACAGTTAGCTGTGGCGGCCATCTTGAATTTTTGATTAGAAGATAGTTTTTGGCTACTTCTACACTAACTTCAGCTTTGTGTCTGAAAACAGCTGAATAAAAAGTGACGAGCGTTCAGCTGGTTTTATTGATCATTTTCTGCTTTCATCAACATTTCTGCTCAATATTTCTCTAAACAGCTGAACCAGAGTCGTTTGGAGTTAGCTGTGGCGGCCATCTTGAATTTGTTTCATCTTTTCGATGTGCCACCCTTTTTAAAAACTGTGTAGCTCCGCCCCCTGAACGAATGGTGCCCTACAATCCTGCAGCAGCGTCTCCGCTCAGTTTCTTCTGACAGGAGTTCTTTCATATCTGACAGGACRTGCTGGTCAACCTAACTCAGGTGTGGTCTGAGAGTCATTAACAGGTTTATTAGCAGGTGGTGGGCGGAGCCTCTAGAGTTTTGTTTTAAAATAGCTGTAAATCAGACCCTTAAAATTACACTGCGTGTGTGTGTGTGTGTGTGTGTGTGTGTGTGTGTGTGTGTGTGTGTGTGTGTGTGTGTGTGTGTG